AACAGGAGAGAACAGGAGAAGGATGGAGAAGAGGGAGTGATGAAGGCTTGAAATTTTGGAGTAACTTAGATATATAAATGGTATGTGAAAGATGAAAAAGGAAAACAGGACGTGAACGAAAAAGTTGCAGGTAGAAAAATCGAAAAAAAGAATACGGCAGTCTTTTCATAACGTAAGACGACCGAGAAATTCGGACATTATTGGCAGAAAGGTATCAGGGAGAGGGAAAAATGTCTGGAAAGTTCCAGAATCATTCCATCCGTTTAAAACAAACTGTATACATTCACACAACACTTAAATAACACAACACATATCAAAACAACGTTACTCAATTTCAAAAAAACATATTTTCACAGACAAACTCACATGTCCGAGCAAAACACTATTATCATGACAAAATGCATATAATCGCACAACAATTGTACGACCACAAGATACATTCAACCGAAACAACACCACATCCAGAATATTATTATTATTATTATTATACATTATATTCACAATATTCACATGACACTTCCCCTAAACATACAGGCATATATTACTTATTCCTACATCACATGATCACATAATACACATTGACACAACATACAGACCTGGGCAAGACTGAAGTCCCCAAGAAACATGGCAATGTGGCCGCTCAGCAGCTTAGGGTCTTCCACGTCCAGAGTGGACTGCAGGGACCACACCATCCCTACGTCCCCGATTTGTCTGTACACCCGCATACCTGTGTGTACACGGGGACTTGGGAGTCTGTGTGGTGTACATGGGGACTTGGGTGTCAGTGTGGTGTACACGGGGACTTGGGAGTCAGTGTGGTGTACACGGGGACTTGGGAGTCTGTGTGGTGTACACGGGGACTTGGGAGTCTGTGTGGTGTACACGGGGACTTGGGAGTCAGTGTGGTGTACACGGGGACTTGGGAGTCAGTGTGGTGCATATGGGAACTAAGGATTTGTTTGGTATAGATGGGGACGTCTTAGTTTGTATGGTGTACAAGGGGACGTGGAAGCCTGTGCAGTGCGTATGGGGAATAGGGAGTCTGTGTGGTGCACATTGGCACTTATGAACCTGTGTGGTGTACAGTACATAGACTTGGGAGTCTGTGTGGTGTACACGGGGACTTGAGAGCTTGTGTGGTGTACATGAAACTTTCCACTTAGCAGGTTTCAAGATATTAAAATTCAATCGTTCACTGCAATTAATTCCATGTACTACACCCCATATTGCAACAGAATTTCATAAAATCATCTAGTTGGACTTATTTCTGGAAGCTCAAGGAATAATTATGTATCTTCTACATAATTTTAATATATTTTAATACTTGCATAACTTTTCGAAATGCCCTCACATAGTATACGTTACGCCCCTATTTTACTTTTTCCATAAATTGAATTATCCTTTACTTATCCGAAGCAAACTTCTAAGTAATTTAAGATTAACTTGCTTGCTCCTTAGAATGAAACTTAAAACTCAAAGTGTTCATAAATTATCATGGCCCTAATATTTTTTATGGCTTATAAAACATTGCAAATATTTACACATAAACTGGCTAAGCAAATACGGAAAATTTATTGAGCACATGCATGAATTTATTCACTAGTATAGGTTGGCAAAATTTGTTCCTTTGAGCAGGTTTCACTGAAGACCAGAGAAAATTGATTGCTAAACTTTCTCTGGTCTTAAACGAAACCTGATTAAAGGAATTTATTCACCTAGCACTTTTCGTAAATGCTCTTATCTAGCATTTATAATGAATGCACTGACCTAGCACTTATCGCTATTTAACTTGTCCCTCTGTAAAGAAGGGTACAGAGGGACACAATAATTCCTCACTCTGCCACTTCAGTCAATTCACTGACTACATGTGCCATCACAACCCTAATCTTTTGTCAGACATTACTCCATAATATATAAAATAACGGAGGTGTCCCACTGTACACCAATTACCTCTACCTAACACTTTTCAATGCACTTACCTAGCACTGGTATTTGCACACACCTAGCACATGTAAATGCACTCATCCACGTCATCCAGTTCAAAACTCGCTAAGGGAACGTAAGTACTTACGCTTTATTTTCTGGTCTATGATTGGTGGATTTTGCTCGAAAGGCCGTCAATGATTGGCTGATGAACTTACGATCTCTTAACTTTTTTTGAAAGTATAGGCCCAGGACTCGTGAGTGCACTTATCAGCAATTTGAACAAATATGATTAATGATCTGATAGTTCATTGATTTAACTTTCCAGGGTGGAACAATTTTCCAAATGACGTTACTTGATCAAAATGCTGGTTTTAGGAAGTAATATTAATTTATTAACAACGTTTAGAATGCAACAACATTCATTTCCAAGTTATAGGAAGAATTGAATAATAAAATTTTGATGGAAGTTTCATTGTTCTGGTTGGGAGCTTGTCTCATGTGGCATGATAAACGGATGCTCAATGTCGTATACTCTGAACTGTGAAACTTATGAATGAAAACAAAATTGATACAAGTCCCAACTTGACCTTGAGTAGCCCTTAATCCTGCCACCAGAGACAAGCGCGCAACCAGACCAGGTCTTAAAGTATTAAAACCGAGCAACTTCATCTCAAGAACCGCGATGAAATCAATAAAACCCGCGACACTCCTGACAACAACATCAAACTCAACCAGACTGTCACTCCCATGCACTGTGCTGGAGGAACCCACCAGCATCGTCATCTTGCAGTGGCCCATCATCGAACCGACGATAGCTGAAGCCCTCATCTCTTCGAATTGGACTCCAGCTATCCATCGCATAACTACCGAATTTTCTGAACTTTGAGATTGATTCGGAGTTATTTTCTGGTTGAAAAATTTCGTCTTGTATCATATTTACTTGTCTCAGGTACTTATTTCCATCACGATTTCATTATTCACCTATAACTTGGAAATTAATGTTGTTGCATTCGAAATGTTAACAAATTAAAATTACTTCCTAAAGTCTGCATTTTGATCAACCAATGTCATCTGGAGGATAATTGTTTGACCCTGGAAATTTGAATCAATAAATTCACTGGTCATCAATCGTCCGTGTGTAAACAAGCTAATCCTACCATCTAATACTTATTACCAGAACTTATCCATCACTTGTGAATGCACTTGTACATCACCTGTGCATGCACTTGTCCATCACTTGTGAATGCACTTGTACATCACTTGTGACTACACTTGTCCATCACCTGTGAATGCACTTGTACATCACTTGTGACTACACTTGTCCATCACTTGTGATTTGTGAATGCACTTGTCCATCACTTGTGAATGCACTTGTACATCACTTGTGAATGCACTTGTCCATCACTTGTGAATGCACTTGTACATTACTTGTGAATGCACTTGTCCATCACTTGTGAATGCACTTGTCCATCACTTGTGAATGCACTTGTCCATTACTTGTGAATGCACTTGTCTACCACTTGAAAATGAACTTACCCAGCTCAAGGTTGAGGCACGCGAGGCAAGCTTTGCCCAGCGTCTCCCAATCTTCCTTCTTATTGAGCACTTGACAGATGGCCCCCGCGTCCTTGAACCTGACAATAGCAATTTACGCCAAGCAAGGACATTATGTTGGAGCTCCAAGGTATCGCAACTTGTCAGTTGTGTGTGTATCAGTTCTGAATACCTTTTAATACCTTTTCAGTATTAAATTAAAATGCATTTGTTAAAAAAAAACAATTATTTTGTTACGTACTTTGATGTTCAATATCAAGTGCAAAGCTATAATTTTTCAAGATAAAGAAATAAAATTATAAGAAGGTACACGAATAAGTCGGTATAGAATGTAATAATAATACAAAACTATCATTATGAGGAATCAGTATACAAATTAAATTTTACGTTGAGTTGACAAATAAAGCACCTCCGTAGCTTGATGTTCTTCTCCAGCGCTGTCCTGAGCTGCTTGTCTGTGTAGTCTTGTATGTTGGTCTCCATGTCATGTGAGCTCAGTGTTAATACAGACGTCTTCCCACCCGTAGTCTGTAGAGTCAACTATACAGAAAAAATATAAAATTGTGTTAAACCTCGGTAATAATCACTTGTTAAAGATTTAATTACTTACGAATAATATACGTATTATTCATTCATTTGAAGATTCATGTTGCATTCAAGTTATTCATGAAATAAATATTCTACACGTCCAAGTGACAAGTAATCCCTGACTCTGACCTCGCCGTTGTAGAGCAGCAGAGGCACTTGGCTGGCCGGAACCTTTGTGGTGCCTACGAGTTCAACGTGACTTCCTGGCAACAAATACTGTCAGTGATATAAAAAATATAACTCAATACTCACTGAAGTGAGTGACAGAGAGCGCATTTTCTCGTCGTGTAAAACGTGAAGTCACGGACGGACAGACAGACGGACATAACGAGCACAATAGCGCCTTTTTTCCATAAATGAGAAAATGCGCTAAAAACTGCAAAATGATTATAAATTGGTATGAAAGGTGAAAAAAATAAAATAAAAGTACCTATAAATCAGTTTTATTTAATGGAATTTTCAGTATAACTTCTTTAGATTTTATTAGAAAAATTACTCAAGAGTGCCGGAGAAATAAACGAAATATGCAGATAGATGTAGACACCATTAAATTTTGAGTTGAAAAATAGCTTCAAGCTATGATTTGGGTATCAGTAGTATAGATAGTGAGTGTATCATTAAAGTTTGCACAACAGCTTAAATCACAGGTTAATGATCATTTACCACAATCTTACTTTGTATCTTAGCCATCAAAATATGGTTGCACACTGTCTCCCGAACAAAACCTGACCATTTGCCCCGATTGAGCGAACGCTCACAATATATTTTAATCACCGGCTTTAGTATAATTTGGAAACTGTTCGTTACTAAAAATCTAGAGCAAGTTTCATGATGGCTGATACTTCTTTGGAATAAATAATTAGTTTAAAATTATGAAATACTGTCCAGAACCTGGGTGCTCATATTTATTGATCACCATAAAGCTATAAGGTACTTCATATGTATTATTACACAGTTTTTGAATATCTGTAAATGGCATACCGCAAGCAATGTAATCACGATGAATATTCTTCATGTCGATGAATGGTAATTCAAATAGGATTAATAGATTTGAATTCGTTCTAATGGTTTGGCTTGGTAATATGTGATAGCAATGTGATAATTAAATTTAACTACTGTTATTATGTCTTACACGCGGGTGTAAAAACTTTCAGCTGGATTCTGATTCTTTCAGTAGCAATATCATAAAAATGAACAAATTTTCCTTATCAGGATCTATGTCACTTGGATCAGAGACCGAAGCAGTATTCTCAAAGTATTCGATTGCACATTTTTGGAGAGAGCCAAACAGAGGGCGAAAACTAGCCAATGGTCGTGATTACATGCAACCTGATTTCGGATGAAATACTTGATCTTTGATTAATCCGAAGTTCACCGTCGACGTTGATTAACAGATAATTAAATACCAGTTTATATGGGTTTTTAAAATTAAATAGTTCCTTTAACGCACATTTTCAATTTTTGGCGAACATCTATTATTATGACGAACGTTGTAATTTTGCTACTATAAAGCACACCATACTAAGTTGAATATTGAGCTGTAATGCATATTACTGTATAAATATGAATAGATTGAATAGATTGTACAGATGCAGAGTTAGTATAAAATCTCATAAGCCTATGGACTAAGTAAGCACTGTCCCATACACTAAGCCTGTGGACTAAGCACTGTCCCAGAACTGTATTGCATATTATAAATAAAAAAATTGCACAGATGCAGAGTTAGTATAAAATCTCACCCTTACTGTGTGCAGAGTGCAGCACATTTATTATTAAAGCGAATATTGTAATTTTACTACTGTAAAGCATACCATACTAAGGTGAATATTGAACAGTAATTCATATTATAAATAAGAATAGATTGTAAAGATGCAATGTGGTATAAAATCTGACCCTTAATGTGTGCAGAGTGCAGCACGTATGTTAGCAGGTGCGCTGCGGTGTAGAGCGCGAACACATGTCGGTCTGTAGGGCAGGAGTCCCACAACACGCCCTGACATGACGCGCCTGGGAACTCGGGAATTTTAAGTAGCTCCTCTGTTACCTGCAGCAGAATTAAAGAAAATTAAAAATTTCCGCCGCATAAATATTTTTCTATAATCTTTTAACGATTTCTTTATTTCTTTGTAAATTTTTTTGAATATTTTTTATTAAAAAATTTTCCGCTCATTAAATATTTTTCTATAATCTTTGAACGATAAACGATTCTTTTATTTTTGTAAATTTTTTAATATATTTTACTTATTTATTTATGCAGCGATTATTTCATTTTTGTACAATTTTTACAGCTAATTTGGGTGAATATTTTTTCTAGGATAGGTTTCAACGTCTATAACGATGCCACTCACTGGGTTATATACGTGGCCTTCAGTCTTGTCGTCTATGATCACCAACCGGCGGCCGCTGGGCTCTGAATATATTTGCGTGATACCCGTCGTGTGCCTGCGACGATTAAAAATGGATGTTAAAAACTTCTGCAAAATAACTAGGTAAATAATAACCGTTTGCAAGGCATTTAAAAACATCGGAATAGGACCAGCAGGATGAGAGCGTTGCATATAACATCTAATAGTGCAGCTACACTAGATTATGAAGAAATTTACAAATTTAAGTTGTATAATGACTCCTGTCTCTTTCTGCTATGAACAACAAACACATGAACAACTCTGCCATTAATACTTAGTTTTGATAAATAAAGTTTCTGCATTCAAACACGCACCGATAATCTCCAAGAGTGGTCCAGTCACCCACCGATAATCTCCAGGAGTGGTCCAGTCACCCATCGATAATCTCCACGAGTGGTCCAGTCACCCATCGATAATCTCCAGGAGTGGTCCAGTCACCCATCGATAATCTCCAGGAGTGGTCCAGTCACCCATCGATAATCTCCAGGAGTGGTCCAGTCACCCACCGATAATCTCCAAGAATGGCCCCCAGTCACCCACCGATAATCTCCAAGAATGGATCCCAGTCACCCACCGATACTCTCCAAGACTGGCCCCCAGTCACCCACCGATAATCTCCAAGAATGGCCCCCAGTCACCCACCGATAATCTCCAAGAATGGCCCCCAGTCACCCACCGATAATCTCCAAGAATGGCCCCAGTCACCCACCGATAATCTCCAAGAATGGNGCAGCTGCACACGTCACACTCACCAGATGCACACGTCAATCTCACCAGATGCAGCTGCACACGTCACACTCACCAGATGCACACGTCAATCTCACCAGATGCAGCTGCACACGTCACACTCACCAGATGCACACGTCAATCTCACCAGATGCAGCTGCACACGTCACACTCACCAGATGCACACGTCACACTCACCAGATGCAGCTGCACACGTCACACTCACCAGATGCAGCTGCACACGTCCTTCGTATAGCACGGACACGTAGTCAGCCGAGACGTGCACTGACGTGACTGTGCCGAGGTAGTCTCTGTCCCTGAGCATGGTCGCCGTTTCGTCGGCCAAGGCATAGATCCAGGCCCTGTTGTTCATGCCCACGACGAGGTGGTAGGGACCGAGGGCCAGGAACGAGGGCTCCACGTCCACGCTCACCGAAATGGGGTGCTCCTGTGGGGCGTGAAACATGGCGTGAAACTTGTCGTGAAACAGGTAGCAAAGCAAGTTGCGAAATATGTGAAATATTTTACGAAACTGGTCGTGAAACATGTTGCGAAACATGTTGTGAAACATGTTGTGAAACATGTTGTGAAACATGTTGTGAAACATGTTGTGAAACATATTGTGAAACATGTTGTGAAAAATATTGTGAAACATGTTGCGAATCATATTGTGAAACATGTTGTGAAAAATATTGTGAAACATGTAGTGAAATATGTTGGGAAGTATGTTGTGAAACATGTTGTGAAACATGTCGTGAAACATGTCATGATACAGATAACGAAATATGTTGTGAGATATTTCGTTAAAAGCATGTCGTGAAATATAGGTTACGAAGCATGTTAGGGAACCTGTTGCGAAACATGACAAGAAACACGTTACGAAACAGGTTATGAAACATGTTCCGTAACATATCGTGAAACATGTCACTGACAATGACACAATGAATGTTGTGAAACGCGTCATAAACGTATTTGTGAAATATTTAGAAAATAATCTAATTACGGATTTATAATTTTACGTTTCTTTTACTAAATTTTTAGTTTTTTCTTGCCCTAAACATTTTACCCATTTTTAAAATTTTACTTAGCAACATAAGCGCAAAAATTTGCTGTGTACATGGAACAACATTCCGTTATCCACCATTTTACATAGAATGGTCCAAGCACTGTTAAACGCCAACAAGAATGGTAAGAATTAATTTCAATACGTTGCTTAATTTACTCTCTAAATCAGCATTTTAATTGTTAGGAAAATTAGTTTAAATTATTGCGAGCCACTTGTGTCAGCCACTGTATCTGGTTAGTACTAACTGCCACTAATAAACAATCGAGCTACTGGCCTCGTGTAGAGTGACACTGGCTGCTTAAGGGGCAATTAGCAAGTGCAGGACATAAAAGTCAGATATACTTGTTTATATAAGTTAATGTCCAATAGATACGTATAGATCCAATAATCGAATGTCCAATAAACTGGCGCGTGATTGGCAATGAACGAAGAAAGCTCAGGTTCACAGAATAACGGTTCGGTTTTACACGACGTTTTGTAAATTTTAATGCCGAACGAATTCCTTTGAAACTTTTTTTTTCGTCATTGTTTGTTGCAAACTTCACAACGGACGAGTATGTATGAAATTTTCAATTAATCATCAATAACGTATGATTACTAATCTGTAAAGATCCATTTCAATCAGAATTGCGATCGGAAACAATAAATCAAAGTCTTTTTAAAACAATACGCCGACATTAATATATTAATATAACTAATGACGAAGACGATACAATTTCAATCCGAATTGCGATCGGAAACAATAAATCGAATTCTTTTTAAAACAATACACCGTCATTAATATATTAATATAACTTCTGACGAAGACCTTACAATTTCAATGAGAATTGAGATCAGAAACAATATATCGAATTCATTTTAAAGCAATATACCGATATTAATATAACTTCTGACGAAGACGATAGAGGCTGCAGACTCTGACCTTATCGACGATGCTGGCGACGGTGACCTCGAGCAGCGACGTGAGGTAAGCCATGCGCCCGCCATGAGCGCCGCCCAACACCGGCAGCTTCGTCAGGTACACGTGGATGTTGCCTGCACCAACGACGTGTTGGTTACACACAGCGCACTAACACATCATTACACGTGGATGTTGCCTGCACCAACGACGTGTTGTTACATACAGCGCACTAACACGTCATTACACGTGGTATACGAGGATGTTAGTGATATTGGTGCGCACTTGAACACACACCATCACTAACACACCATTATCACTACTTTATGCGCCACTGAATGCACTGTCATCATTAAGCAATGCATCAATATATGCACTATTCAATGCCCTAACTGATTCTTTAATAATTGTCATAATCAATAACCAAATCATTAGTATGTACTATATCATATTTAATGCTCTAGTCAATACTCTAAAATTGTTATGATCAATATATCGTATTATTAAATGGCATAATCAAAGCTTTAATCAGTGCTCCAATGAATGATTAAATAAAATTTCCAATCAATTTTTTAAGCAAGGCACTTAACAATTCTCTTAACGATACAGTAGTCAAGGCATTATTAAATGCATTATTTTAAACGCCGAATCGATGCAATATTTTATTCATTTTTCGTAAGCAACAACAGCAGCAAACGTGCAGAAGCAAAGTAAAGATTTGTGACTTGCGTCGCGGCGGAGAGAAAGCAAAACGTTTCGGTAATTATGTACAATAAATTCAGACGCTGAAGTGACACAATTTGTGCCGCGGCGAAGAGAAGGTAAAAAGTTTCGGTAACTAAAGTTAGTTTAGACGTTGAAAGTGGCATCATTGTGCCGCGGCGAAGAGAAAGTGAAAACTTTCGGTAACTACCTATAAAGTCAGACACTAAAGTGACATGATCGACTTGTGCCACGGTGAGGAGGAAATAAAAAGTTTCGGTATAACTAAAGTTAATTAAGACGCTGCAAATGACCTGAATTGTGCCACGGCGCAGCGGAAGTAAAACGTTTCGGTAACTACAGTAAATTCAGACGTTGAAGTGGCATCCTTTGTGCCACGGCGCAGCGAAAGTAAAAAGTTTCAGTAACTACCTTAAAGTCAGACGATAGAAGTGACTAGACTTGTGCCACGGTGTAGCGGAAGTAAAAAGTTCCAGTAACAAAAATTAATTCAGACGCTGAATGACCTGACGGGCAGGCAACGGCGAGCAGCTGCCCATCGTCGCTCCAGGCCAGCCAGTCCACGCCAGACTCGTCGTCCAAAGTCAAGATGGCGGACGTGTCTTTCAGTTCTGTCAATTCGTGGATTTTGATCCTGAAAACAACAAAAAAAAATTTACTTTTCAAGCAGACACGATCCTTTTTCAATCAATGAACTTGATAAGCAAATATAAATTATCATAAGGGGAAGTATATATTTATCAGGATTAAACACAGCACTCACGCAGTTTTGAAATAAACAACAAATATATTCTACACCACATCTACCAAATCTTTCATAATGTTCATCTTATCTCACACCACCTCCACGTTATCTCACACCATCTCCACCTTATCTAACGCCACCTACACTTTAACCCACACCACCTCCACCTTATCTCACACCACCTCCACCTTATCTCACACCACCAAAATCTTATCTCACACCACCTCCACCTTATCTCACGTCACATCCACTTTATCTCACACCACCTCCCCCTTAACTCACACCACCTCCACATTATCTCACACCACCTCCACATTATCTCACACCACCTCCACATTATCTCACACCACCTCACCACCTCCACATTATCTCACACCACCTCCACATTATCTCACACCACCTCCACATTATCTCACACCACCTCCACATTATCTCACACCACCTTCCCCTCATCTCACATCACCTGCACCTTATCTCACACCACCTACACGTTATCTCCGCACGAGGCCGCCTTGTTCAGCGTCGTGGAAATTGCGATGTCCGTCAGTTTCTCTCGATGGTTCTTAGCCTGAAAAAGCTCCTGGCCGATTTCCTTCATGTGGGTGGAAATCACTACGAAATATCCAGCAGAAAATCCTATCAGTATATAGCCGTCGCCGAACCTGAAATAATTTATGCGTGTAAAAATGCATAAATAACAATATAATTTATGTAGTGAAAATGTTAATTGATTTTATAACTATGTAATTTAGAAAAAATGGTCTGCTACCTGAAAGACTTAAGCAGTATCCTGGTTAATGATACAAAATAACGTCTTATGAACTAATAAGGTCACACGCCTTGATACGAGTATGTGAAAGCGTTATTCCGAATAAATTGACGCGACTTTCAATTAAAAAGAGACGACGAGGTCATTACATTCATAGTATTTCTTACTGATTCCCAATTTATACGAGACGGTTGAGGAAGGACGGTAGTGTTCTTTTCTTACTACTTGCCCGTTAAATATCTAAGGCAATGAACAATTGAAAATATATTTTTTACAGCTCGACTCAGCCTTTCACAGGAGACGTTGAGGATATGACATAATATATTTTAGATACTCACCATTTATATGAGACAATGAGGCCATATTTGTTCTGGAAGGCGAGCTCGATGGGATTTTCTGGATCGTTGATGTTGAAGAGAAATAATGTCCTCTTGGAGACAACAAGGCTGACCTGAATAAAATATTATATCAATCAAAACAACATTAATGTGCAACACTCGTTACCATTAAACCCAGTATTGTTTTTTTATGTAACATCAAGGGTGGTATGAAGGCATAGTTTAACCATAGGCCGACTTTAAATATTTCTTAAAGTTATTATTTGTGGATCAGTAACTTTCCTAGCTCATCAATTCAAACATGCAAAAGTTTCTTCATGTTAGCATCATATTCTCATTCGAAATAATCATGGAAAGCATGTATATAGTAAGGAAAACATGGCACGAGATAACTGGAGAACAAAACGACGATGGTAATAGCAATAGAAACGTGAAGAGAAAGATGACAGCGACACGATATGACTCACACGGGTTTCCATGATACGAGTAGTAAGAGGAAGAATGGAAAACAATATAGTAATGGCAAACATACTACGGGTGGTAGTTGTAAATATAAGAACAAGACAGAGATAATACAAAGAAATAACCACAAGCAGGACAGTAGCTGAATGCCGTCAATGGACACGATGACGAACTGGAGCTCAAAGGCAAGGAATAACGATGGAATATTTTGATAACGATGTGATTAATCGAGCAAAACAAGAAAACATTTACCAACACGTGCGTATAGGAAGAAAACATCACGCAGATCATAAAAGACCTAGAGGAGGCCTGCTAGATTAATCAACTGGCAGATTTAATAGGCAAAGATGGAATGACAGCAACGAGAGGCACTTAAGAATACGAATTAGCAATACATAAAGTTAGTAACGAAAAGAGCTACAAGAAGATACGATAAAACGAACAACACGATATCGAGACCAACAATGGAGCGGAAACAGATAACAAGAAGAGGATCGTGGAAGATAGCGATACGAACAATAAAGCGATAACAAGATGAGGACCAAGGACAATATCCAGACCAACAATGGAGCGATAACAATATAACAAGAAGAGGACCAAGGACGATATCGATACTAGCAATAAAGCGAATACAAGATAACAAGAAGAGGATCTTGGAAAATAGCAAGACCAACAATCAGGCGATAACAAGATAATAAGAAGAGGACCATGGAAGATAGCGAGACAACAATAAAGCGATAACAAGAAGAGGACATGGAAGATATCGAGACCAACAAAGGAGCGAAAACAAGATAACAAGAAGAGGATCACGGAAGATAGCGAGACCAGCAATAAAGCGATAACAAGAAGAGGACATGGAAGATATCGAGACCAACAATGGAGTGATAACAAGATAACAAGAAAAGTATCACGGAAGATAGCGAGACTAACAATGAAGCGATAACAAGAAGATAACAAGGACATGTAGTGATCACCGTGTTCTCGCCGAGTGCGCGCTCGTCGGTCTTCATCTCAGAGAACTGCAGGTCCGAGGGCTCGCCGCGCAGGGGGGCGGTGTGCACCGTGTCGCCCTCGCTGTTGCTGATCGTCAGGATCTTGTCGTCTCCTGGGCACGAGAGCAAACTCGTTTATTATCTTATTTCCATTTGCATATTTATCCCATGTTTTTAATCGTGTCATTATCCGCTTATTTACATCCGAGTCTTTATCCCCTATTTTTAATTCGTGCCTTTATCCCCTTTGTTTTAATTCGTACGTGCCTTTATCAATTTATTTACATTCGAATCTTTATCCACTCAATATATAGAAACTCACTATTCCACATCGACGTGGGCACATAATTTATCGTAATTGGCGACAGTGTCTGAATATCTCCTAATTAAAGTGTATGAGTGTCGTAATCGCTTGTAATTAATGGATGTAAGTGATTTAGGTATCAATTTGAAAAGAGATGTATTTTATGCGCGATTCAATGATAATTTCCATTTAGTATAACGAGCAAATTCACTCATTTTCGATTGATATGTAGGCTTAACTTCGCTCTATATGCATGCAAAGAAACATTCAACATAAATCTACTGATTTTGTATCAATGTTTACATTTTTGTCGTACATTTTTTATCGATGTTATTTAGATTGCACCATTATATTCAAATTCGAGTTGCTCTGCATGTTCAAATTGTGCTGGCCTTATAGTGACCGAATAATTTGATACTCCTTGTAGGATAAGCTTTACTAGATGGATTATTATTCAGTCAACAACAAAGATCGTTTCTAACTTTCTATGCGTAAAAACACTCGTTCTCTTCGGAATGTTGCTTAAAAGAAATAACGAGTAATACTTGTAGTATAAGTGAACCTTTTAGCATGGAATAGCTTTCTCATATCCGAAGAATAAAAAAATTATTTATGGCCCAATTTTATGGATGAATAAATTATAACCAAAATATTGCAAAATTATGATCTAGAAACCAATACTTGAGAAAACATGCACGACTTATTGGCAAACAGGAAAAATATTCATGACCCACTTTATATATTGATTGTATTTTATTTTGAGCGTCCCACAGAACATACTCATGATACACCTTATGAATTGATTTTATTTTATTTTAAGCGACCCACAGAAAATACTCATGGCCCACGTTATGTATTGTTTGTATTATATTGTAATTATATAATTTTATGTAATTATATTTAATAATATGTAATATATGTAATTATATATAGTTATATGTAATATAAGTGACCCACAGAAATTCGCAGCTCACCTCCCAGCGCCAGCAGGTTGCCCCCAGCGGACCAGCAGCCGCTGTGGATTTTACGGCTGTGCTTCCCCACGACGGGGATGCGCCTTAATATCAAACAATAATAAATTAACAATATTGTTGAAACATTTTAATATATTTATAAATTTTAATAGCCTACTGATATCCATTGGCCCAAATAAACTTTTTCCTTTATAGCAAAAAAAAAAAAAAATAAATAAATGCCCCATGTACTTTAGCAAATGTTCATACAGAATATCAAACAATGACAGAATAGTAAAATGTATACAGTAATCCAATTTATTTCATAATGTTTAGGGTTAGGGACATAATTGAGTTCATGCGCCACAAGAAACGTGCATAGAGATTGTCAACCAAAATGACCAAAAAGCAAAATTTCTACATTATTTCAATTAATTCCACAATGTTAACAGCATAAAAATGTCCATGCGCCTTTAGAAACGTAAATAATAATAATAATAATAATAATAATAATAATAATAATAATAATAATAATAATAATAATAATAATAATAATACTAATAATAATAATAATAATAAATAATAGCCGTCAGATTTATTAATTAATTAAATAGTAAATAATATATAATATCCAATAATACATAATAGTCGTAAGATTTGTTAATTAATTAAATTTTATTATGTTAACAGCAGGAAAGTGCCCACTCGTAATAAAAGACGTTTGTACAAAATATACTAAAATAGTAAGACATTCACGATAATCCAAATAATATGACAACGTTTACAACATGAAAGCGCATTACCGGTACTTATTGTTATACAACGGCGGAATAAATCCTGATAAGAATTCTCCTTAACAATTTAGTTTATACGAACAAAAAAGATGTGGAACATAAGAACGTACGTGATAAAGTAAAACTGCTCAGAAAATACAACTATGACATAGAATTATATTCAAATAATGTCGAAATAGCAAACAAATAACTATTTTGATGCTTACTTGCATGGCATGGCCAAACATACATGTAGAGTAGTAAATAACTTTGAATATCAATGTATTCGACAGGGCAGGCTGCATTACATATTTTGAATATCAAAGTAATTTAATTTAGGTGATAGAGATATATGCATAACATTAATGCAAATGGTGCATCCGATCTGCGAATTTTGGAATCCAAGTATATTTTTAAATATAGGCCTAGATCAAATGCAGCCTTTAGTTCTTATCCACTAGAAATCGTTAACAGATCAGTATTTACTTTATTACTCTACCTTTTGCCTGTAAATTTAGGTTTTTAACTTCTGTATTTTTTCTTTTGAATCCAAACTGTATAAACTTCTGATTGTATTTGTGTTCTAGATTTATTGAACTAACGATGGAGCAGGACTCCGAAACGTTTTCAATAGAGATATGCTGAATTTTTGTGGAGTTTTCTTCCCTTTTAAATTTCTAGTGAATCTGCGATTCAAGCAATCCAGTGACACTAATATTAAAGTAAATGAAAAAGAGGGGGAAGACGTTAACATATGAATTTTACTTGGAAGTATGATGGTTGTAGATCATGAGGTTGCCCTTGGCGGTGCCCACGGCCAAGAGGGGAGCTGTGCGGGACCACGCCATGAAGGTAAGCTGGTCGCGCAGGGCCGAGTCAAGGTGCGAACTCCGACCTCAACGTGCAGAAAATGTTGAGATAAGGATATGACATTAGAAGGATATGACATTAGAAGGATATGACATTAGAAGGATATGACATTAAAAGGATATGACATCAGAAGATTACAGCTGGTGATTATATATTTATTGATAGATCCGCGTATCTCATTTAATATAATAAATCACTCTATTACCGTCATGCTTTGAGGTTTGGCATATATTGAACGTCGACTGGGTTTTACAGATGTATTTAACCGGTGACATAATTAAGTGCTGTTTCGACTCGAGTGGCACTGATATTATATATTGTAATGTCAAATATATGTGATAACAGTATAATTGTTTTGACTCAAGTAGCAGTGAAATTATACATTGTAATTTCAAATATATGTAATAACAGTATAATTATTCACCGGTGTTGGCGTCCCATAGGTGGATGTGTGGAGACTTGTCGTTGATGATGGCTAGGATGGCGCCGTCCTTATCCCAGCCAAACCCCGAGCAAACTCTGTGAAAGGTGGGGATCAATCAAATAATAGAACATATAAATTTGGAATTATTATAATAAAGAAGATTTTATTATTCCTTTGGTGTGCAGACGTTTAGTCGTGCTCAAGTATCATGCTAACAGTTGCATCTAGTCTAGAGCATTCCCAATATTCTGCTCAAAAATTATTTACAAAGAGCTAGAGGTATTAAAAACAAATCGCACATGCACGGTAAATTTCTTAAGAAACGACGCTCCGGTATATGATGTAATTTTAAAGTTACGCTTAACACAAGAAAGAGAGTGACAGATTGAGATAGTACATGCATGGAACAACATGTACACGAATGTACCTGTACAAACAACTTAAACCTAGAAATAACCAGTACACATAAATAATATATACCTAGAAGCAACCTAGCTGTATACTCAAATAACTTGAACCTAGAGCTGAACTCTCCACTTGGATACTCCAGGCTCCAGGTTTGACCAGAAATAATGCCACTAAAAATCTATTGACTCTGATGTGCATATAAGACCTGACCTATACTTAATATGAATTTTAAAATTCGATGGTACAAAATACGGTTGAAATGCACAAGACTTGGTGAGAAACAACCGATGCCTTAACAAATAAAATAGGAGACTATAGCAATATTATTCTAATTCACCTTCTTGAGGTTATCGTAATTTTAAATAAATTTACCCAGGCATGTGAATCTGCTCCTTAAGACTGCCATGTCTGTCGTAGATATGCACGGCCTGGTTGTATCCTGTGGAGGCCAGGTAGCCGCCGGACGCCTTCTGCCATGAGAAGAAGACTCCGCCTTGACCGTGCGGGTGCAGCAAACTGAACACTCGCTGTTGAGTTTAGTGACAGTGTTATGATCAGCATATATGTCGAAAAAACATATTTTTCTGAACACTCGCTGTTGAGTTTAGTGACAGTGTTGTGATCAGTATATATGTCGAAAAACATATATTTTTCGTCGAAAAAACATATATTTTTCTGAACACTCGCTGTTGAGTTTAGTGACAGTGTTATGATCAGTATATATGTCGAAAAAACATATTTTTCTGAACACTCGCTGTTGAGTTTAGTGACAGTGTTGTGATCAGTATAAATGTCGAAAAAACATATATTTTTCGTCGAAAAAACCTATATTTTTCTGAACACTTGCTGTTGAGTTTAGTGACAGTGTTGTGATCAGTATATATATATGTCGAAAAAAGCATATATTTTTCTGAACACTCGCTGGTGAGTTTAGTGACAGTGAAAAGTTAAGAGATCGTAAGTTCATCAGCCAATCATTGACGGCCTTTCAAGCAAAATCCACCAATCATAGACAAGCAAATACAGCGTAAGTGCCCCCACAACTGCCCTCAGCAACCCATTACTCTAGGCACCCATGAAAATCTCGGAAATGATTATCCTGTACGAAAAAATTGCTGCTGAATTTAGGCAACGGCCATTTCGATCGCAAAAAGTTGAATGTTGAATGTCACCCATATTAGATGTATATTCTTCGCACAAAATTTTTTAACAACTTTAAAATGAAGTAACGAACGACACTAATAGTTTAGAGCAATTAATCTACTGAGAAAAACTGCTTCCAAATGATCAAGCATGAATGAATCGAGCAGAAATCAAGCATAAAAGTGTTACGTATCGAACATAATTCCTTTTATATATCAATCTTAAGTTGGGTAAATTAGATTCCATCTTTAAAATTACAGATAAAAACATACGTGCCGCTATTCCTGACAAGCTCTATAACGATAAGCATTTTCTCTACCTAATAATTCATCGTTAAAAAAAAAAAAAATTCGATGAAAAGTTTCAATTCACACTTAAAATTTTAGCATTGGCAAAAATTTAACAAGAAGAAAAATTAAGTCAATAGAACAGTTATTTCGTTTCTCTTACATAATAAGCGTAAGCTAAATTCACTAGAACTCATAAATGATCGAATAATAAATTAATTAAAATTTAGTAAATTATGTTTTAGAGCAGGATAACATTTGCTGGTGTTTACCTACGGAACATATATCAAAAAATAAAAAGTCCATGGGTTATATTCAATAAGGTTTGTTTACAACCGAAGCACGTGTGGCAAAAAAGTTCTAGTTTCGGCTATTTAATCTCAAACTCTAACTTAATTTAAACTTTTATAGGTCGTTCAAGATTACTTACCTTATCTGTTGCCATGACGAAGTTCGATTAAGTAAAATAACAAGAAGAAATCACAAATTGCGCTGACATTAGCATCGTGAAATCTAAAGAATGTAAACGGATACAACGGTGGGAGCAGAAAAACCAATCAATGTGGCAGCTGATAGCCAGAAACCGTCCATAGCAACCGGCCGTTTGTTGTGGCAACCAACATCGCGCGGTCATGTCACAGTGAGTGAACTAAGACGAAACTGGAGAAATTGTTCGGAAAATAGCTTTAACTTTTCCTAGTATTGAATTTAGTTCATGATTGTGTAAATGAAGTACAATCTTGTCGAATAATAAAGAGTTTATCAGGTTATATTTTATATGGAATTAACATTCATGAGAGCAATAAAATGCTTATGAGTGACTGCTCAATGCATCAAACCCATTTGAAAAATGTAAAAAATTCACATAAATCGAAAAACGATCAATAATCAAACGATCAATAATAATCGATCAATAATAATCGATATATAAACGTTCAATAATAATCGACACTATCCAGTGATTTAGCAAGTTGGAGTAGAACAGGTTAATAATAACATGATGGCTATCAAACCTACTGCAAACAATACATTTTTGCAGAAGCTTCTTGAAAATAGAAGAGTGCAAGCTCTCCAGCTATGCAACCACTCTGCGCAGAAAGTCACAGCTTGGTAATTTATAAAAAAGTAGATGGTAAAATATCTTTACGCGCAAAATTTCTAAGGATGAAAGATTTTTGAACTTGTTAATTTGGCAAATCGTCTCAAATGTTTCGCGCTGTGGCTTGCGACAAAATATGGTTTGCCTCGAACGAGATTATTGCCTTGCCATTCTGAGGTTATTAGCCTGTTATACTCGCCTAGTTAATTTAGGACGATATAGATGCTTCATTAATCCAGAAATATTAGACAACTGAATAGTAACAAAGACTGCACAACTGCCCTGCCTACACAACAACTTGACCCCACAACTGCCCTGCCTACACAACAACTTGACTTTTTCACTCTGACCTCCGCATTCAGATACCGCAATCTCATTGGTGAAGACGCTCAGGAACAGTGCATCCGATAGGCAAGAAGCTAGCTAAAACTTTTTAAACGCACTTGGCCTAAACGTGAGAAGATAGCGCTAATGAAGTCTTTTATACCAGCTAGGAATAATTAAACGAAATTAAAGTTAAAACCAAGTGAATTAAAAACACACACATTAGGATACATTAAAAATTAAAATAAAAATTCTCCCAGAGTATTTAAAAGTTTTAGTGAAAGAAAAAGAAAATTTGTCAGTAAAATTCAAATTTGCAGTCAGAAAATGTAGAATTGATATTTCTGCTGTTATGGGAAATACGAGTTGAGAAAGACACTACAACCAATTTAGTCGATAACAAAACGCTTACTAGACACATGTCCAAATTCGTCAGCAATTTGTTGTAGTTCAAGTCGAAGAAATATTAAAAAAAAATAAAGGTGTTCCCTCTTCAGTTAATGAGAATTTGGTCTATGAAAATGATTAATATACACAATTGATAACAGAAATATTTAAAACGATGACGAAATTTGGTACAGGCATATCGAGCTCTCACGATCACTAACCATTGACAAAAACAAGTCCCATATTTGAAATCACTACTTCAACAAGTAATGTTGAACAAATACTGATTAGCATTAAAAGTACTGTCATCTTAGAATAAATTCTGTTGATCGGACGATACAGTGACTGTATCGAAGCGAATGTTTTAGAATATCAGAACAAATGGTGTGCATTACAGGCTTTGGAACCAACTAAAACCTAATTCTCTTATGTCTACTAAAATATTCTATAATCACAAAATTAAAATGCATCTCAAGCCTATAGGTTAATTTTGTTGGTCAAGTTGTTGATAAACCTAAATTTAAAGACAGGTGAAATAGCACTCGAATCCATCGAATTTGTAGTACAAGGCGATCAAGTTTAAAACTATACTCAACAAAAAGGATCTAAAGAATATGAAGTGAGGCTTTCATATTGAACAGTACCCATATAAATCAATTTGAAGCCAATAAAATTCATTACAGCGGACCAGGTCATTTAATTAAAATACCAAAAAAGAAGCTTATATCAACAAATGTCCAAAAAAGTCGGCACAAACACAAATGCTGAGAAAATGGTACTTAATTTCTCTCTGGGAATATACTTAGAGTGACACTCGCGCGGCAGGATCCTGTATCATAAGGGTCTTATTTGATGACCGTCGTGGGTTATTACACATAATGTAACTGCCACGTCACTAACACTTCGCTAATACTAATTCGTCATTGCAACGTCACTACCACTTTACTAACGCGTCATTGCCACGTCACTACCATTTCACTAACGAGTCACTGCAACGTTTCTGACACGTCACCACCACGTCAGCACCACGTCAGCACCACGTCAGCACCACATCACCACCACGTCACTACCACGTCACTACCACGTCACTACCACGTCACTGCAACGTCACCACCATGTCACCACCATGTCACCACCACGTCACCACCACGTCACCACCACGTCACCACCACATCACCACCACGTCACCATCACGTCAGCCTAAGACGACGCAACGCAGGTTTTCTGCTGACGAGGAGCACGTCTTGGACGACGCCCATGAGGTCGTCAGGAGAGCTGCAGGGCGGCAGGAAGCGATCAGGATGCGCTAGGATTTCCAGGATCAGAAACTCGACGGCGTCATCCAACAGCCGCAGTAACTTGTTGCTGCGGGGAAAGAATTAAGAGATGAAGACATGTTTAGGAATAAAGAGATGAAGACATGTTTAGGAATAAAGAGATGAAGACATGTTTAGGAATAAAGTGATGAATGCATGTTCACGAATAAAGTGATGAAGACATGTTTACGAATAAAGTTGTGAAGACATGTTTACGAATAATTGTGAAGACATGTTTACGAATAAAGTTGTGAAGACATGTTTACGAGTAAAGTTGTGAAGACATGTTTACGTATATAGAGATGAAGACATGTTTACGAATAAAGAGATGAAGACATGTTTACGAATAAAGAGATGAATACATGTTTACGAATAAAGAGATGAAGACATGTTTACGAATAAAGAGATGGAGACATGTTTACAAAAAAAAAGAGATAAAGACATGTTTACGAATGAAGAGATGAAGACATGTTTACGAATAAAGTGATGAAGGCATGTTTACGAATAAAGTGATGAAGGCATGTTTACGAATAAAGAGATGAAAACATGTTTACGAAAAAAGAGATAAAAACACGTTTACGAATAGAGATGAAGACATGTTCACGAATGAAGTGATGAAGATATGTTTACGAATAAAGAGATGGATACATGTTTACGAATAGAGAGATGAAGACATGTTTACGATTAAAGAGATGAAGACATGTTTACTAATAAAGAGATGAAGACATGTTTACGAATAAAGAGATGAAGACATGTTTACGAATAAAGAGATGAAGACATGTTTACGAATAAAGTGATGAAGATATGTTTATGAATAAAGAGATGAATACATGTTTACTAATAAAGAGATGAAGACATGTTTACGAATAAAGAGATGAAGACATGTTTACGAATAAAGAGATGAAGACAAGTTTACGAATAAAGAGATGAAGATATGTTTACGAATAAAGAGATGGAGACATGTTTACGAATAAAGAGATGGAGACATGTTTACGAATAAAGAGATGAAGACATGTTTACGAATCATTTTACAGGCGAAAAATATTGTCCACAGGAAAAATGAAATTTCCTGAGGAAAGTATTGGAATTCCATGCGAAAATGAGACGATATTCCCATATGAAATAATCGGAATCGCTATGTAGCAAATGCTTATCATAAAAAAGGAACAAACGAATTAAAAAGAGACATACAAAAAAAGCGCAATCCAATTATAAAGGTAAAATATTTTTCCGCATTATTTTCCTAAATGACTGGAAACTATTTCATAAATTAATGCTGGTACATATATAAAGTTGAAACCTACTTTTAAATAAAAAAATCTTATTGTTAATAAATCCAAACCCACAGACATATTAGACATAAATTTATGAATGCTTGAAAAACATCGACGAATCAAATAAAAATTTTAACAGGAAATTTACGAGTCTATATTTAAAATATTTGATTATGTATATTAACAAAAAAAATGTATGCATGAAGTAATGTAGATTCCTCAGTAATTTTTAGGAATAACCACGTAAAGGCGTTAAGTTGATTAATTAAATAACGAATGCAGTAAATCAGTAACAATGAATCGGGTAAACGAATCTTCCATAAATGTTCAGTTACTTAAAGTCTCAAAATAATTTTTTTATATAAATAGGAAAACAGTTTATGTGTTAGAAATTACGGTTTAAATAATTGGCAGCTATTCGTAACAGAATTTGTCACGGATCTCACATTGACAACTTGACTGCGACGTCATAGGCAGCGTATGTGTTGGTGAATGCGACGGTGTAGCGCACCAGCATCTCCGTGAGCAGGCGCGGCTGAAACGTCGCGTGAGTGCAGAAGACAATCGCACTCAGCAGGTCCACGAAACTGAACCCAACGTGCATCCCCGACAGGTTCAGGATCTGGGGAAGCTAGGTCTGTTAAGGAACCCAACGTGCATCCCCGACCAGTTCAGGATCTGGGGAAACTAGGTCTGTTAATGAACCCTAAGTGCATCCCCGACAGGTTCAGGATCTGGGGAAGCTAGGTCTGTTAATGAACCCTAAGTGCATCCCCGACAGGTTCAGGATCTGGGGAAGCTAGGTCTGTTAATAGCGTCAAGATTTTTTCTGTAGGCGGTAACTTTAGTTACAAGGCCTTTTGATACGCACGACATTGATGGCGGGTAATGGTATCAGTAGGCATACGAGTAATAGTAGTTTCTGACGGTAACTCTAGTTAATAGATCGATCGTAAGTTCTTAACTTTCATTACCTTAACTTTGGTATCAAAAATAAAAAGGATGAGTATATTAAGTACCTGAAAAAGCCGCTGTCCCATTATTACGTGAATTACATTAGTCACCAACTTGAATAATGTCTAATAATTCGAGCTACGTGAAAAAAAATCAAGCTAAGAAATTATGTTTCATAAAGTAGAGCTAGTTTGGGGTGGAGCCTTGATTTTATTCAAGGTCCCGAAACATGTTGGTTTGTAATACATTTGTTTTTAACGATTTTTTGCAGTTAACAGTCGAGGTGGATTTAGTAGCGAATTAAAATTACTCGGAATAACAAACAATTCCAAATAAAGATAATGAGAACATAAGAGTTTAGTTCGCTCGGAGCTCCAACATGAGCGAACAAATCGAGTTTAGGCGAAATGGTTAAATTTTGGGACTAATGAAGTTCCACATTAACGATTGGTGAAATCACTGATTTCCGTGGAAAATTTAATCAGAAGTAACATGATATTTAAAAAATCATTGACACGAATAGATTTTTCCTTTAACATATAATAAGCTCAGGCAAAACTTATCAGTTGATTCTTACCTTGACATCTAACACGTAGCGCTTCGTAGTGTAAGTTACTAAGTTATCCAAGGTAATTCTGCCGATGATGAAAGAGCAAAACATTTCGTCGTTATCAGGAAGTCGCATGAGCTTGCCGTAGCCGTCGACCGTAGCGTTGAGGTAGAAATTGTAATAGACGTAGTGAGCCACGGTGCCTTCTCTGAGACGTTCTGCGTTGAAGTATTTTTCTATTCTGGAGGACGTTAGAATGGAAAGGAGTGCAGAAACGTTTAGCCTAACATTAATTTATTTAGCCCGGTGTTGCCCGGGCTTAAAAATTTATGCAATTTTGGAATCCAGAGCAAACCCATCCGATCAAAGTTAAATTATTGAACCTAACTTTTCCTCCCATGAAATTTTGCAAACCTTTACAATACTTCCTTCGAGGAATATATTCTCAGGCCCAGGTAATATCCCGACACGATAATTACCGTGTAAACTTGTCAGAACAGCCATTGTATTTATGTGGTGTCAGGCAACCACACAAACTAACACGCACAAACTTTGATATTATTTCTAGAATTTCACAGATATAGCAGAGAAAATGACATTGAAATAGGACAGAGATATAATTATTATTTTGCGACTGACTGCACCAGTTGCAGCGAAATCTGTATACGCTTCGCTGATAATTAGATATACAGAACCATAAATAAAAGTTCCAGCAATAACGCGAGGAACGGATGTAGCTCATCAACCTTTCTGATATGAAACTGAAACGAATGGAAATCTCAAGATGAAAAAATAAAAACTGCTTCGTAGATTCGTACTCATTGATTGATCACCTCAATCCTTATCAAAAGATGGCTTTCCAACATAGAACGATGACGTTTCCGCACATTAAATAATGTCTTTTACATTCACAAAAAAAAAACAATTATACATCTCACCTAGAAATAGTTTCCATTGCTTCCAGAATGAGTTTTCTGGAGGTTTCTTCTAATGTAAAGAGAACCCCAGGAAAAATTTGATGTATTTCCTTGGGTTGTCCGAGCATAAACATGGCAGTGTGTGCGTGGAAGTGGCCCAGACGCTCGGCCAGCATCAGCGCTTCTTCCGCAGCCAGACGAGCGCCCAAGACTCGGAAGTGTGGCTCCAGAGGACTGAAGGGCGACGATACGATCGTTGACCTGATGACGATTTGAGGGGTGATTGAGGGCTAGTAGGGGGGTGATTGAGGGCTAGTAGAGGTACGATTGAGGGTTGGCGAGGGGAGATTGAAGGTACTCGAGTGGAGATAGAAGGTGGGCGAGAGGTGATTGATGGCTAGTAGGGGGATGATTGAGGGTTGGCGAGGGGAGATTGATGGTACTCGAGGGGAGATAGAAGGTAGGCAAGAGGTGATTTAGGGCTAGTAGAGGGATGATTGAGGTTTGTAGAGGGGAGATTGGAGGTACTCGTGGTGTGATAGAAAGTAGGCGATAGGTGATTGAGGGCCAGGCGAAGGGGTGATTGAGGGCTAAGCGAGGATGAATTGGAAGCTTGACGACCGTTGATTGAAAGCTTGCAGAACGGTGATTGAAGGAATAGTGAAAATTATAACTTAAACGAAATTATTTAGAGCTTAAACGGAAGGCGGTTGAGACTTTCAGAGAAGATGCCTGAAGGCTAAACGATGAATTGATTTAAGATCAATCGGGAAGTTAATTGCAGTACTGGTTGGATGGTTAGTATGGAAGACTAATAGCGAGGTAATGTGCAAGGTTAAATTCAAAATAAAATGCACAAAAAATCGAATTGATTAGGTGAGATCAATTATGCAATAAAAAACCGATGGAACAACGCTACTCTACGAATGCCTAGGTAGAAGAAAATCAACTTAACATTGACGATGAACCAAAGGATTGAATACGCAACCAAGCATCGAGGACGCAATCTCAAAATCGAAGACGAAACCGCAAATTAAAAAAGCTACTGCACACTCGCTGTCCCCCAAAACACTTAGCAACCAGCTGTTCCGGTATGCAACTGTCCCGGTATGAAACTGTCCCGGTATGAAACTGTCCCGGTATGCAACTGTCCCGGTATGCAACTGTCCCGGTATGCAACTGTCCCGGTATGCAACTGTCCCGGTATGCAACTGTCCCGGTATGAGCAACTGTCTCGGTATGCAACTGTCCCGGTATGCAACTGTCCCGGTATGCAACTGTCCCGGTATGCAACTGTCCCGGTATGCAACTGTCCCGGTAACCGACCTGCCCCGGTAACCGACCTGCCTTGGTAACCGACCTGCCCTGGTTGTCCCGGGCGGTGGCCCAGAGGTTCAGGAAGAGCCGTGCGATGGACCGGCCGGCGATGGCGTTGGCCGCGGCCACCTCCGCCAGGGGGCCCTGCAGGACGTGGACTGCGTGGCCCATCAGGTCCACAGAGAAGGCCCCGGAGCAGGGCACTGTGAATCTTTTCATCATAAACAATTAAACAGGTTGCTTGAAAAAATTCTTAAAAAAGATTCTTCGGGAAATCTATTAATTTGGGTTATATGTAAATGATTACAATATTACGGTGTTCAAGCTTACGAAAAAATAAATATCGCGTACAAATAATGATGATGAAATATTTCATGGATGAGCAGTTGGAATTAGAAAACCACGATAGTAAATCTAAATCAGAGAATCGTCCAAAATTTAAGATAGCATTACACATACAGTTCAAAGTTAATAAGTCTGCAGTAGGAAAACCTGCAATGTTGCGATAAAATTAAATGGTAAAAATATTCAATTCATAACATTAATTTGTAATCAATTTCGATGACAAAATTAAGTATGTTCACGGTATTTGATTATTTAAATGTTTTATCCCGTTATTTGATTAAAGGTCATTCGACACCGTAAAATTGCGTAAAATTAAATACTGCTGAATTCTAAATTAGTAACCTACATCGAATTTTCCTCTTCATCATTTAGAGTAAAGGTTCGAGTTCCCTTTTTCACTCGTGCAGAATACGTGACGATTGCTTCCACCAACTCTGGTTTATCGTCTTCTTTGGCCCAGGCTTTGATTATCAACAGGCAGCCTCGCTCTTCATAAAATTGGTTCCTAACAAACGTGGGCGAATTCAAGTTCCGACGCGCGTAGGTGCATTTCGCAAGCTTTTTCAAAGTCGAATCTACAAAAAAATGTTAAATACGTTATTAGAGAAGTGGAAAAATTAGAGAAGTGGAAATTATTAGAGAAGTGGAGATGAACTTAAAGCGGTTTGAAAAATCGCTTGTTCGTCTTGAGAACATACGTGTCCCATTAAAGTCCGTCTTTGAATGCTGTGCATGAGCGATGAAACTTGAGATATTTAATCCTAGAACTCGCGTAAAATAAAAACAAAATAAATTTTGTTTAATTATGCGAGACGAGTCAATAATGTCCCTTGTAAAAAAGTTACTTTATAAATTTTTGACAATTAACACCAAAATAACGAGAGAAACCTAAGTCATGAAAATATATTATCCAAAACATCTTTGATCTTTTCATTCATCCAGATTTCCACGGAACTGAAACTCAGAAGCCGATAACTATGCTAAAAACTTTTGATAAATAATGTGGGATTCAACGCACGAAATATATGATAAATCAATTAGGATAATAGTGAGCAAAGTGAATAAATATTGAATCATTACCTTTTCGTTGAAGTCGGTGCACAGCTAAATCGTGGCAATAACGACCCTCGAGGAGAACATTTTCACCGGGAAACAGCAAGTGGTCACATATCAATTCTTCAAAAAAATTTGAACTTTTGTTTGAAGAGCAGGAACCGGCTCCTTCCCCTAAGACTTCTGTTTTTATCCATGGAGAAGATCTTAGTTTTCGGCCGCTTTCATCCACCATCGAAATGCCGTTAAAATTTAACTCCTGCAACGCTACGATAACTGCGTGCCGGAACAACGGCTCTGAAACACCTAATATTTCTGTAGGAGCTGGTGGGGTAGATGATGGTCCGGGGACGGCTAATTCTTCGTAACTTCGAATCATTTTTTTGGATGTAGGATGACTACTCAAAAGCATATTATGGAGCGGGAAGCATTTGGATGTTGTCCGTAAGGGAACATTAAAATTTGAGGCAAGTTGGTTTCGGAGCGGCACATCATGAAGTGATGAAATACCGTCGGTGGATTCGTACAGTGATGCATGATCATGAAACGGTATCTTCTTCGGAATACAAATGTCTGTGACCGGTAAATTTTCTGAAGAAGTTTCCAGAAAATTATTTGGCAACATTGATTCTAGGGGTGGGATTTGACAAGCCCGAAGTTCGTTTTCGAGCGGCGAGTTTGATTTGAAACTCGCGGTAGGCTTGTGTGTTGTTGGAAATCCATTGATCTGGTTGGAACAATAATTAGTCAGAGCTTTGTCATGGCTTCGCATATTATTCGTAGTTTTTGTGCATAGCCTCGGCTTCTTAGTTGTGACCTTTTTTCTTGGACCGTACATAAGATGGGCTTGTCCCGTGGAAAGGATGTGCATTATGGGCGTATGGTTCAAATTCCTTATGTATGCATTACATTTTATTTTCGTGTATAGCCATTTCCATTTTATAGGTTTTGTATATTTTTCCTTTACTTTCCTACGTAGATAGTACGAAGGGAAACCAGGAGGATAAATGTTGTTGCGGATACTCTTAGGCCAGCCATCATAGTCATTCAAATCATAAAGGACTCCTTCGAGCGGACCTTCCTGACCTTTGGATACGTTGTTAATTGTAGCTCCAGCTTTGCAATACTTGCTCAGCATTTTAACGGCTTCCATAAAACTCTGACCTTCATTCCTATTAAGTTCGATAACTTCACTAGCGTCCGATGCAGATGAAATAGCAGAAGGAAGTAACTCTTTCGGCTGTGATACATCACTGACCACCGCTGGATCTGATCGTCTGGTCTCGACATTTGAGCGAGTAAGTGGGGACTGTGAAATTTCGTTCACGGTTTCCTCAGCTTTGTTGGCTACATCTTCGTCAAGCTTTTCTTCACCATCAAACAGCTTTCGGCGGACTTCTGGGGCGATACTCGGCTCATTCGGCATGTTCTCCATTATATCCATAGCGTTGGCAATTTTATTTGAAGAGCTTTGATTCAGAGCTGTATTTAGACTTTTAGATATCGTATTAATTTCTTTTTCAGGCGATTTAATATTGGCACCCGATTCAACTTGTCGCTGAGTATCGTTTATTTCCTCTTGGGTGGATTTGAGTTTTTGGTGTGGATTTTCTTGACGACCCTTAGAAAATTCAACGGCTACTAGAGGGCATAGCACGCCATTGGAAATTTTTGCTGGCGTTACTAACTGTTTCGTTCGGTTCGAGTCTTCCTCCCCAATTTTATTGACGTTTGAGTTATTTGGGGCCAACTGCTCAGAATCACAGCTAGTTTCGATAGTGTCTGTTTTGTTTATAGGTTTATCTGATATTGTGCTAGCTTCCGTAACCTTGTCAAGACAGCTTGCAATTTGAGGGAGAATTTTTGTCTCAGCTGCCTCTTTATCGGAATCCTTTGAGGATTGCTTTGAATCATCGATTGCAGCCATCGCTTCTGTTTCTTCAGATAAAACTAAATTTGAAGATTTGGAATGAGCTGAATTTTTTCCAGAATCATGTGTAGTAACAGTTGAACTTACGGTTTCGGAAAGTTCACTTCCGTAAGTAAACAACTCTCCTAAAACCTTTATTTTAACTGACTGAATTTCATCGTCAATCCCGTCCAGCGTTGAAATGTCCTCCACATTATCGGAAATCAGGAGTTTCTGTTTCTTCGCGTTTTCTGGGAAAGGAAGTTCGGAAAACAATTTACGTTTCGGCGTCGTAGTTTTGTCCGAAGGATCGTTTAGATTCGTGGAAACTTCAGGTTGTTGGGGTTCTTTGACAGCCGTCATTTTTTCTGGCCCGAGGTCTTCGCAGGGTACGCTCTTGGTTACCTCCATGGCTTCCATCAATGTTGCTATCGACTCTTGTTTTGAGCTGAGACTGTTTTTGGTTAGTGGGTCCACTTGCGGAGTGATTTCGGAATTTGCGAGCTTCTCATCCTTGAGAGACATTACTTTTTCCTGGATAGAATCAAATTCTTGTATATGTTCATCATTCGTACTTCTTGCTGGCGAATTGCAGTGAGAAGATAGAGATATTGGGGATTGCACGGACGGCAACAGTGACATTGATAAGCCAATCAAATAAACCAGCATTTCCTTAATATCTTTTTTAAGGAAGTCAGACTTCCATTCAGGGAGATTCTTAGTCAGTTGCTTAAGTCTAGTCGATTTCCGCTGCATTCCTTCGATAGGTAGGTCAGGATTTTCCTTGAGAACGGCAAGGAGTTGGGGTAGCAAAACTTCTTTCATGTCAATTGACTTCAATGCGAAAAGCTGCAAAACTTTTCGCTCAAGTGCGGTGACTTTTCTCCCCAAATTAACGTTGCAGAAGCGGGTATCGTAAGCAAAGGCATATTCATTTAAACCGAACCCATAGAGGTCTGTATCTTCTTTGCCTTCGATAACCTGGCAACATGTGAGAAGAAATAAAATGTTAGGTACTAGGTTATATTGAGGATAACGACCGATAAGTTATAAATAAATTAAATATTGGAAGAAAATTTTCAGTTACAACTAATAAACCTGGCAGATTCATTCGAAAGCTTGTGACTTTTCATATTAAGCATAATAATAATTGTTATGAAAATAATTGTAAATAAAAATTAAGGAAAAATCAATAACGTACCGAAATGCAAATATTTATGATCGTTTCAGAATAGATTATTTTCGATTAAAAAAATGAATATGTATAGAACTTTAGGCTGACATTCAAGCTAGAGTAATTTCTTGATATATGTACTTACGTTCCTAATTTTCCGGGCCACTGCTTTGCCTGGGACCAAATAGCCGATGTTGGAGGAGACTTCCAGCCCCAACATAACGATGTCTTCTTCTGGAGTTTCCTCGCCATCTTCGGAACTACTTTCAGAGGTAAAATCATCATAATCGTAATCATCATCATCCAACTCACTTTCAGAATCATATAAAAATTCGGAATTTTCATCAGCATTTAAATCGTCCGTGGTTGTGGAGGACACTTCTGCACTAGATAAATCCCCATCTAAAGGCTTCTCATTCTCAATAGGGTTGATCATAGGCATTTCTGGTGTGATATTCCTAACTTCGGTTTTAGTCTTTTCGACATATTTTCGATCTGTAGCCTTTTCACAGTCGAGTAGCCTTTCTTCACCTTCGGGCCTCTTTTTAGATCCATCAATAATATTTTCGCAATCTCTGACCGTACAAGTTTGTGTTGCGGATAGTAATTCTTGACATTGACCAACGGATATTTCCGAGTGCTTTCCGACATCACTGGTCGTCCTCATCGACGTAGGATCAGCGACACTAGTGTCCGTAACCGCTGGCTGGTAAGCCGTCCAATCTATCAAGGTTTGACCCGAACCTGGGATCGGTGTCAGCATTGGTACAGGCATCTTCAAGTTGGTCCTTTTGATTGGTACTGTATCAGTTTCATGGTCAGATTTAAAGCTCTTTTTTGAAGGTGATGCATTTTCATCTTCGGATTCCAACTCAATGTTTCTTGTTCTAATATTTTCTGATATTTCAGGTAAATTACGAGAGCATATATTTTCATTTTCGGAACTTGAATCGCTTGCTTCAAATGCATCACAGGTGCTTGAATCGGAGCTGTCTCCTAACTTAAACTTTTTGGCCCGGAAAACATTAGCTTCTGAACGGTTCATTTCACTTGCCTCTGATTCGGGAACACAGCAACTACCTAAAATGTTCAGAAATTCTTGTTTTTCAGCATCATACGCGTCTACAGTTGAGGAGTCTGATTGATTAGCAGCTTCTGTCACTTCGGCGCAACAGATCACTTTATCTGCAGGCGGGCAAATAACATTGAATTTACGAAGGTCAGCGTCAATGTTTGAGAAGTTGGTCACTAGTGGTTCAGCGAGGTCAACTTTTTTCTGCGACTGGATGTCTGAAGATTTTATTGAAGTTGAACAGCACGATGATTCTGAGCTTGAAAAATCTAAAGTTTCTGCCACACCGGTTGCACAAGCGTTGGCAGATTCTTGAGAGTTTATACAGTCGGCCATTTTTGTGTCCTGAAATTCCAGTTGTCCGATTACCTCTGAGGAATCAATTTTTGAACGCGACATAGCACCTGATAGCGTTCTTGTAGCAATCGATTCGCCGCCGGAATTGGTATATTTTTCAACGATCTGCGTCCGCTTGTTCGGAGGAAAAGTTTCGCAGATGGAAGAAGGGGTGTTGTCGCCAGGCTTGGATGCCATTTCCAAACGACCTTTGTCATCTAACTCCCCGGTGATGGACTTGGATATCGAGCAGTTGCCTGATATCGAAGTTTTATTAGCGATTTTCGGCGAATATTTCAGATGACCGCTGCAATTTTGATTTTGAGGATCAGATTTTGGAACTTTCCGCATATTTTCAGACATGGTGGGACTACACTTCCGCTTAATGTTTGGCGCACTTTTTGAAGGGGAATTCTGCAGAAGGATCATCTCGTGGTCATCAGAGCTGACATTCTTCAATGAAGTTATGTTGTGTTCTTCAGTTGTGTTAGGGTAATGAAGTGAAGTCGTTTCACGTGCATAACCATGTGGACTTTCAGTAGCGTCAATAAAACGTGTCATCCATTTCTTGGCTTCAGGGTTCGATACACTGGTAGAGTTTGAGAAGCTCATGTCCGAGACTCTGTCATAATCACCAAGCTCATGAGTTATATCTAAATCGGGCATTCTGTTGTTTTTTATTTCGCCAGAGTCGTCAAACTATATAAATAATTATTGTCGTTACCAAAAAAAGAGTTCCTGGAAATCATTGAAGAACGGCATGACAAATTCCGAGCAAAGACCATGAATGTATATGAAAGTATATCTCGGTCTTAAGTTATAGCATCAATGATGGTATCTCTTTACGATTTATGAAGGATATTAGTTTTAATTGCGAGGTCATTTGTAAGGAAAGTTCAAAGGCGAGATTCATTGTTTCGCATGAGGCCCAAATTGGCTTAATAATCAAGAATTCAGCGATGAAAACTAGATAAGAAAAAAATTTCTCTTAATTTTCTTCTAATGAACAAGTTATCTTTACAAGTATAAATGCCTTAACCAGCCAATTATTTCAAATATATGCATTTTAAACACAATGGAGAACGGTGTATTATTAGTAATTTAAGCATGTTTCATTGAAAACCAGAGAATAAGTTTTATTGACAATTTAAGTATAATATTTATTAGTAATTTATAGAGTAAGGTGCGCTGACCATTAGCAAGGCGAATCAACCGAGAATTGAGAGCTCCTCTCTGAGTGTTATTTACTCGAGTACCTAAAATGAATAATTTAGAAAATTTATTCAGATATCAAATTTTTTAGGGAAATGACAGAGGTCGCCAGGAGGGTCGTCTTCTACCCCCAACAACAGTTAATGTTGTCCTTGCTGGAAATAAAGCGGTATTGCAGTATCGAGGATTGAGAGGATGAACGAAAAATATTGCACCGTAATTCAGTTTGAAATTATTTATTAAATGTTAAGAACGACTCAATAGAATGAACGGAGCAACAAACAACGCACAGTAAACGTTCTAAAACAAGAGCAATATCTTTTTTAAAATGAAGTATTTTAAAATTGCCCGAAGGCTAAGGTTCAATTAAATGATAAAGATCGCAATTTTCAAAATTACGAATATAAATACAGAGCAGCCGGCAAAATGAGCGCTTTCAGTCCAATTTCGTCCTTTTATAATACTTAAATAGCATTAAAATTTACCTAACTGAGTCCACTCAACATTTCACAAGCAAAAAATACATTCTACGAAGATAAAGGGTTTAAAAACAACAAGATTCTGAATGCGTCATACTCAAGTAAATTTTTCTACTGATAAAAAATTATTTTATTAAAATATAGTGAAATGTGACGAAGGATAGGTTAGACTGATGTGCAGTTGTGCACTGATGGCAAAAGTATCCACTGCGAACTCTTTGCTGCTGCAATTACCAACTAATAAAATTTAAAATCATCCTCAAAATAGATGGGAATAAATTTAGATTCCACTTAGTGACATCCGTTAGCAAACAATAGCGTTAAATGAATGCATAGCTGCTAATAAAAAATTTACTTTATGAATAGTGTTACTGCGACACCGAAGCCAAAACGAGCACTAGTTTAATGATTATAGTCATTGATATGGTGCATGGTCTGAAACGGGTATAATTTTATCGCATAATACTATATACTAGTCCCCAAAATGCCACGTTGTTAGAATTGTTCAAAGTTATCTAAATAGACGAAGTTTTGTAAGCAGCACATCATAAGAAGTGTAGAGCTCTCTGATTAGATTCAGAATTTCCTGCATTCGAGTAAGGTTAAGTATCTGCAATGGACAAAGTGGTGTTCTTACCATAGCAACACTCAGCCTCAGGAGTATCATGGTAGTCACCTAGGAGATGCATGCTCTTCTCTACGGCGATCATGAAGTTGTTTAGCCAATCCGGCCCCTGAAAGAAGTAACGAGGCTTTGCCAGCATCCGCAATGTCAGGTGCCGACCGCAGTATTCCATCATGTCAGCCACTGCGCTCCTGCGTGATACATAAACAAAATATTTCATAATAAGAGAATCTCTAAATAATGATACACAAATATATTTGGTATATAGAATACCAATGATATTAAGGGAGTTGTCTCCTTCAAAACCAAGTCGGGTGCATAATAAAAGCGACCAACGACGTAGAGCGTTTAATATCTAACGCTTAGTAGCAGTGGAGCCCAATTGTTGTCGGGAGCTGGCATATGCATTCCCGTTCTTAGGGCATGAAAGTCCGTGGGCCTTATGCTGTCCCTAGTCACGGTATTTGGAAATCCTACTTATATTTGATGCAAAATCGATGCAAATTGCGACTGATATCACAAGGCTATACCATTTATAGTATGTATATGTTCACTGAAGCTCGAGGTTTCGTGTCGCGCCTTCTCAGCTTGTATACCAGTCTATCAGAAGCGTCTTACCTAACTAAACTGCTGACCGAGAAGTGTCGGTTCATATAACAGAAATTATGGCTTGGTATTTACATATCGCTTCATGGCGGTCTTTGTCTATTCACGTGGTATCTATGCTAAAAATGGGACTATATAGCTAGTAGGTGCTAATACTAATTGATAGTCTAATATCCATTAAAATTCAAATATTTATAGTAATACATATTGATACCGTTCAAATAATACAAAGCCTTAGTCATTTAGGTTAATTGCAAACATTTCAAGCTAATTTTGGAATGGAATAAATAATTTACACATAGTAGTTTCATTTAACTGTTAAATTGAACCATATATACTTGGGTCTTAGGCAATAAATGACATTTTGAAAATAGAAACGAGTTAATGTAATCTTATTCCCTGGAGTGTATTTTTTATCACGGAGGCTAATTTAGAACTCAAGTTAAGCCGCAAATTTTAAGGCCATATAATCGCAGTTTTCGGGCCAAGTTCACTGAAATATTTCTGCTTTATGTAATAGCCTAGATAAATAAAACGCTAACTCACCCGCTAATTTTGAGCCTGGAGCCACGAATTTCGTGTTCTTTTTCGAAAGCGCGAATGTATAGCGAGAAGAGCGCTGCCAAGTATTCGTAGCAGCGTTGAGCGTCCGTGCAACAAACGATCAGACAAAACAGATCGCTAAGGCAGTAGTTTTCGTGAGCGAAACTCCAGTTGGCCAGCTGAAAAAAGATCAATAACAAGTGATCAAATAGGATAAAAAGTTGTGATAGATGAAATCAAAATTGATAGCAGTAGAATAGTGGTTGTGTGATATCTTTGTTGCGTGAAAATGCAGTTCAACTTGAAAAGCACAGCCTATAGTTTATGAAAAAATACATTCAGAATTATATAGGTTATTCGTGGATGACAATGCATTTGCATGAATTAATCGAGTTGAAATGTAAAGTTAATCGAAACCTTTTAATAGTCTATAATAATTAGTTCAATACAACGATATGCTAAACAACAAAGGTGAGTACCTCTATTTATTTATGTTAATATCGACAATTATTCACCGTTCTATATTCGAATACGCTGTCAACTTTAGACGCTCTGAATCAATGAACAGTTCACTTATAACTACAACATCTCAGACTACTTTTGAAGGGTTCATCCCATTAGGTTGATCAGTTTTTAATACTTCATGAAATTCATGGATTAAAAAAATAAAGAGCTGGAACATATAGCGGCGTCAAGACACAATTTCAAAGGACAAGCACAAGGCATAATTTCAAAGGAAAACAACTTCCTTACCTTAATATCTGTGAACTGAGATTTAGTGGAATACACGACAAGGTTTCCTGGTGTCACGAATCCGTTCACCAGCGTCACGAATTTCGCAAGTTTTGGTGAGAATCCCTGACCGATTTGACTGCAACGCGCGCCCAGCTCATAGTAGTAGCGCTTAACGATGTAACCTCGAACCCGCTTATGTTCTTCAATGTTGCTTGTCAGGTATGGGAGTAATCTTGGGCGAGAAATATGTTCAAATTAACAATTAATTCAGAATAAATAACTAGTAAAAATTTTAAAATATAGAACAACCTTTTGTGTTATGGAACTAAGCCATTTTTTAATGAATTTAGATAAAATTTTGGTTGAGATTATATAACAGAATGTTAAGGATCGGGACAGCTATACAACGTGAATAGCAAACAAGGTTTCATTCATAAATTTCACAACAAAATTGTCATTGCGCTCAACGCGTCTTCAAGAAGTTTATTAACTCATAACATGCTCACCGGATCATGGTCTTTAGATCATGGTTCAACTGCAAGTTTATTCAACACGTACTTACAGTCGTCTTCTATCCGGCACCGTAACACAACAAGTTTACCAAGACGTACCTACTCATATCATCAAAAATTTTATAGCATCGTCTAACTAATAACTTTATTTCAGGCGTACACGAATGGCCATTTTTATGTCATCGTCTTGCAGCAAGTTTAAGAAAGACGACCTCACTTTCTAATGGTCCTGGAGGCATCCAACTGTATGGCATCAGCAGTTATTCAGTAAGTTTAAGAAAGATGACCTCACTTTCTAATGGTCCTGGAGGCATCCAACTGTATGGCATCAGCAGTTATTCAGCAAGTTTAAGAAAGACGACCTCACTTTTTAATGGTCCTGGAGGCATCCAGCTGTATGGCATCAGCAGTTGCCTCGGTGCCTGGGAAGAGCAGAGGGTACTGCTGGTGGAGAGTTCTGCCACGACGGCTCTGCACTGCGGTCATGTAGCCGTGGTAGTACCCCAGCATCTCTGCTGCCAGCATCGCCGCGTGGGGCTTCAGGAGGCCCAAACCGTGGTCCACTATAGTGCCCTCTCGTGCACGCCGGTTGTAAATAATGGTCGATCTAGGGGGCATATATGATTTGGAGAAATTTTAACTCGATCTAAGGGGCATATACGATTTTATTGAATTTTAACTCAGAAACGTTTTTATTTTGTTGTGTTAATCGATAAATTTAAAGATTTAGCAAACTATCAATCTAAATTTTGTGATGGCCTGTACGAAAAGACTTGAACGAGATATGGCGTCATTTTAAACAAAACATCAATTTGAACCTTTTCATAGTTCCATCAGATACAGGAAATTTCTCATGTTGCAATTAGTATTACGTCATCCATTACCAATTGAAGATCAAGCATTTCTCTCCAGACTGGGAAGGATCGAAACAGCTACGCAGTTATCTGGTAATTGAACCCTACAAAACGCGGATTTGGTCAGAATCACACAGTTTTTAAGGTCAAGTGGCGAGTTAAGTGCAGTATTTCCCAAGTGGCGACTCGTGTGTCATTGACGGTAAAACGTCCTCATCAACACACAGCAAAAGTACATGTCCCTACCGTCCCCGTCCGTCTATTGCGGTGGCCACGATGCGCGGCAGCAGGCGGCCGATGACATCACTGGCGTTGAAATTATACTTGCACGCGTCAGCCAAAGGACCTTCCAGAAGCTGGATGAAGTAACCCTGGCAGTCGCGTGTCAGTCCGCCACATAAAACTTCCCTAAACGATCATCAGAAGTTGAGCAATACACAGTATTTTTTGCACATTCATAAGTTGGAATCGGAAATACACATTTGACATGGGAATAAAATCAGATTTCGATTGTAATGAGAAAAATATCTAAATTCAACGCTATTACACTCAAATGTGACTGAGGACCTTAAGATAAAATTATTGAATGTAACATAGGTATGCTATCATCTTATGCGGTGAAGATTTTAATTGCGCTACACAATAGAAAACTGGCAGTAGGATATAAACTAACCACACATAATTACAAAACATATTACGATCACAATTAAAGGAAGAATATTAATATTACGGTTCATATTCAGAAAGAAATCTATTGTGAGTGTTGAACTGGTTTACTTCATTTTTGAATAACGACCTGAAGTTTTTTAATACCCGCAGACGGTGATTACCATTTGAATATTTATGATTGAACTATGTAAAACTATAAATATGAATAATAGAAAAGTTTTCGACGCTATCCGATTTAAATATTTATGATAGGGGCGCTGAATATTAATCGAAAATAATTTTAAATGGTTAAAAAATAACAAAAGGAAAGTTGTCGAACGTCAGTTAGATCAAACGTTAACAACAAAAAATCTGTTCAGAAAAGAAAACCCTTCCAACTGTTACATCACGGCGTTGAAATCAGCAGGACCTACATAGTTTAATGGAATGAATCGGATTGTATCGCTACAATAAAAGAATTCTAATATCAAAACCATATAAAATGATACCAAATCACTTACTCATGATGGTTGTTGTAGTAGTCATCACGACTTTCTTCGGGGAGTTGAAGTTTCGCTTCCACGATTTCCAATTGACAATATCTACGTTCGATTGTATCTGTTGGGGTATCTTCAGATGGGCTCAGAGCCTCTGGTGAACCAAGAAGGCTTGAACCCTCACACGAATCAGATGGGCTACTGACCACATCATATGGACCAGTAGGGATCGGAATTTCCTGAAATGGACCGGAAGGACTTGCAACATCCACATGTTGGTTAGAAATTCTTTGAGCTTCCCCATGTGGAGTAGACTGGGTTAGAAGCCTCTCAAGTAAACCGTAAGAGTTTGAAACCTCCTCGTTCTGACCACGAGGGCTTGAAACCTCCTCGTTCTGACCACGAGGGCTTGAAACCTCCTCGTTCTGACCTCGAGGGCTTGAAACCTCCTCGTTCTGACCTCGAGGGCTTGAAACCTCCTCGTTCTGACCTCGAGTAGCTTGAAACCTCCTCGTTCTGACCTCGAGGGCTTGAAACCTCCTCGTTCTGACCTCGAGGGCTTGAAACCTCCTCGTTCTGACCTCGAGGACTTGAAACCTCCTCGTTCTGACCACAAGGGCTTGAAACCTCATGTGGGGAAGAAGGGAACGATACCTTCCCAAGAGAATCAGGAGTGCTTGGAACTTCCTTATATGGACAGGGAGGACTTTCAACCTCCACTTGTTGGTCAGAAATGCTTTGGGCAGTAGCCATGCCATGTGTAGTAGGCTGGCTGAGAAGCATCCCAAGTAAACCGAGAGAGTTTGAAACCTCCTCATTCTGACCAGGAGGGCGTGGCACGTTCCCAAGTGAATCAGGACGGCTTTCACCGGTGTCTCGCGAAGCAGAAGAGGAAGTATCCAAACAAGAAGATTCAGAAAAAGAACTTGAATCGCAGCTTTCAGTAGTACTAGAGCCACTCTCGTCGCTTGATGGTGCACTGAACATTTTTCTGAAGTGTGATTCGTAGGTTGTTATTTTAATTTCAACATAATGGAGCTGCTCTGAATAGAACTTACGTTGAAAGACGGCTCCGCTTGCTTTCCTGGTTTCGCAAGTTATAATTTCAGGCACCGACAGTCCTAAGAAACAATGTATTTATTTAGAATAAATTGAAAAAAAGTAAAATAGAGAACAAAAATTAAGAGACCAGCTAAAACTCTTTGGTGGTCTTTGACTGCAGTACTAGGATTGATGTAAATACACTTAGACATGTAAAAGATTCTGAAATTAACATTAATTTAACTCGATTGATTGTATAACCCAATATACAGAAATTTAAAAGCAAAGAATAACCCGCAAAATTTTTTAATATCTTTCTAGAAAGCATTTTGGAGTCCATATTCATGTTCAGTATGAAAATTCTAGACTACCGATACAATCAATTAGTTGTCGAAATTAACCAAAAAAAAATAGAAGTTTAAAGCTAAACCAACAAATAAAAATTTTCTAGGCAGCAGAATAAGTTTAAATTCGGGACTGTTGAAATTCATTTTGTTCGTTGTCAACATATAATGCAGAATATTTACATATATATATCGTTTAAAAGACCGCAATGTCCTTGAAGTTATGATACCCGTGAAAGATCAAAATAATTTCTAACTACTGCATAACTGTAAACAGTAAATCTGCTATTACAGTGAATTCAGTTGACAAAGAAATCGTTAGTTGAGTTGGCTTAGAAAATTAAGAATGTCTAACCTTCCATTCTTATACGATGCTTGAATACACGCTCTCCATATTCTTGAAGGTCCGGTTCGTGGTCAGAGTTGAACAGCAAATCGTCGTTCCTGACGAACGGTAGAGTGCATTTCAGAAACTCAGACATCATATCTACGCGTTCTTGCCCCTTGCTAACGTACGTCTGTTTAGAAGTATAGCCTGGTATTCTACTTAATGGCCTATACTTGGAATAGGTCACGAATCCTGTTAGTTGAACAGGGGGGTGGCAATTCAACACTCTGCCAACCACTTTAGTAAGATATAGATGTATGGGCCAAAGTCTTTTTTCCAGAGTTGAAAGGCTTTGTAATGGGTCCATTTTAGATGGACCAGCGATCGGTCCTATTTCGATCCCAGATTGCGTGTTCGATCCACTCGATAACCTAGAGAGTGAATTTTCTCCGGTGTTCTTACGTGTGAGGGAGGTGGTCAACTCCTCCGTGTCTCTTCTCAGTTTATGGAGATGTGGGCTTAACGATCCTCCAGCTGGTCCACAATTTTCCTTTGCAAGAGAACCCCCGATAGGGGATATGATTCCTAGTGGAATTTTTTCTGTCTTAATTGGAGTTAATTCAAATTCTGGCATAGAATTTCCTCTTTCAGAACATTGCGGTTTTATCCCAATTTTGACGCGGAAGGTATATCTATATGATTTTAATCCAAAGCTGGTCAATAGATGAGTGTTCTTTTGCGCTGTGCTTAGACCAAGGAAAACTGGACAGTCGAATCTAAGATTAGTGCACCTATAAGCGAATACATAAGGAGGCTGAATAAATACTTTATAATCCAGGGTTTTGCAATATTTCACCAGCCTCTGTTGACTAAGAATTGAAAATGGGAAGTTACAGCCGAAAACACTTTGTCTAAGATAAAAATCGTATTTATTAAAGAAGTTCATGTTGGCAGAAACTCCATTCGCTGGAAGACGAGGACGAGTTGCCGAGTTTAGAACTCCTATTTCTGGAGTGGAAGGAGATGAGACTTTTCTGGTTGCATCAGAAATCGTTTTGGACGCAGAATTTGAATTATTTATTCGCTTTGCAATTTTCAGCGGCGACTGGGGACGATCAGTTGGTATTTTACTAGGTGATTTCGAAGGTTTCCGTTTTACGCGCCTTTCATTATACTCCGAATGCTGAATAATCGGGCTTATTGTAAGCTCAGGATGCTTCGTCAAATCAATTAATTTACCAGGATCGTTTAGATCAACATCAGTCTCCGAGTTCCCCGGATAATTAATTTGTTTGGTTTCCACGCGTCTGGTATCAGTGACCCTAGAGGAAGAACCTGATGAAGTATCATTCGATTTTTCTCCTGATACGTTTGCACTGTCTTCAGAACTGTATTGAGCTTCACTATCTTCCATAACCAAACGTTCTCGTACATCATAAGTTTTTTTCCCTTCATCTCTAAAAATTTGAAGTTCATTTTCCTCAGTTTTATCTGATATTGGTCGCCTTGGGGTAGGCAGATCAACACTGGGGTCTAAAACTTTGTCATAAAAACGTTTTTCACCCGTTGCAACATTTCGTAGCATTTGTGAAAATTTGTCACGAAGTTCAAAGATGTTGATATTCTCATTCGAGCTTAGCACTTTTAATTTTTTTGGTGCTCTTTTCGTGGCATCTTTCACGGGAGATAAATTTCCGATGTTACGTTTTGCGCGACCTTCGCAAGTCTGGAGTCTAGTTCGTTGTGGAGCGTCGCAGCCTCTAGACGGTTCTGTTGATACTCGAGGAACATCCATTTCTGTTTTACTTGCCTTTTCGGGAGTCGAAATTAGCGGAGTATCATAGGAAGGTTTCGAAAATTTTTTGTTGGTAATATCTTCATCAAACTGTTTCTTCTTTTTGTTGTCAGCCAAATCTACTTCGGAGGTTTCATGCATTTTGGACTTTTTAACGATATCTTCTGCAATATGTTCAGCGGAAAATAATTTACGCTTTATTCGTAATGCTGGATCGGTATTGACGACTGTAAAACATTTTCCAGCAATATTCACGCAATCTGGCACCGGAACGTCAGCATCAGGGCGAGGTTCCCCAAGTTTTAGTTGGCCGTATACGTCAGTTGGATCAGAATTTTCTGACCTTATTGGAGTTTCACCAAAAAAAGATCTGTCTTGAAATTTCGTTGACTTTTCTTTAGGAGTGGAAACCACTGGAAACGATCTAGCAGGAACACGGGGAGAAATTTGAATGGATGTTTCTCCAATTCTAGAATCACATTTCTTGGGTGATAATACAGTCAAAGGTCTCGATGGGCCTTTGATAACTGAAAATTTGGAAGGAGGTACTTCCTCATTTGGAGATTCAAACACTTGAGTGTCCCGATTATTTGCGCACGATTGAGGTTCCGAATTGATGGAATACGTCAAGGGAGCTGACCCCGATTTTTGCGAAGATTCAGTAGGTAGGTCTGAAACTACACGAGACATATTTTCCTTATCCCGAGACTTGAAAGAAATATTTTTCTTGGAAATTGCTCTTGATTGACGTTCCGAATTAATGAAATATCCAGCAGAAGCCGATGCAGATTTAAATGAACGATCAATATTAGTTGAACTCTTAAGGTTTAAGTTGATTTTGGATCGCTCGGACAATAAAGATGATTTTGATGCTTGCGATTTTGGAGTAAGTATCGATGTACAATCAGAAACAGAAGCAGTCCTGGTCGGGAGACGAATAGGAGTTGAATCGGAAATGACGTTAGACGTCGACGATTTTGAAACAGGAGTACAAGGCTTGAAGATGCGGGATGGAGAAGTTGAAGGTCTAGCCGGGTTTTGATTATTTGAAACTCTTCCAGCTTTCTCTTCAGGATTACATTTCCGCTCGCGGCTAAGTGACATTAGGAGGTCAGCCAATCGTGGGATGATTGACAATTTCATAGATCCTGGCTTCAATGAATATAATTGTATAAATTGACATTCGATGGGTAACAACTTTCGCCCCAAGTACACTTCGCAGAGACGCAGATTGATCGCTTTTGAGTATGAACTTAGTGGTATGTTGTACAGTAACTTGTCTTCTTCCTCCACTATCACCTGTAATAAAATATTATACAATTCCAACGCAAGTCGATGAAATAAAATTAATTTTAATTGCCAAAAATAAATATTTAAAATCGAATTGGATGTTGTCAATCAAGTAGATCTTACATAAATTTCTTTTCAAAGAATGAATTAAACCGTCTATAGTTATTAGTTAATCAACGGCAAGAGCACGAAGGGCCACGGTAAACAATCACCAAATACCCAAATTCTAAAATCAAACTGGAAAATTTATTTCAATATCCACCGAATTGCTTCGGAGATAATCTGTTGGCCAATTAGTTAATAAAGTGGTTTGAACAAAATTCGATTACGACGAATTAATAAGGCTTGCCTCTTTACATTTCTTTTAAACAATGTTTCGCCACCACTTGAATAATTTAAAGAGTCGAGTGCATAGCATAAATTAAATCCGACTTTATAGTCCAGACTTACCATTTCTGTGACGCGCCGAGCAAAGGCTCGACGGGGATAAAGGTGATCATGCTCTGTTGTAATGACGAGACCACGGAAAGTGTCGTCCTCTTCATTTTCCTTGGCCAGATCAATTGATGCATCGAAAACGCCTAATAATTCTTGCAGTAAGCGCTGAAATTCTTCGTTTGTGTCCGAACAACCAATTTCTTCTCCATCTTTTATTTTCTGAAGACTAGATGACAGATATTCCAGCGTAATTGAACTGGGTTGGCGGGTCTCGCAAGTTGTGGTCAGAATGGGTTCTGGCTCATTTCTATGGGAACTGGAAGCGTTTGTGATGGAATTTTCACCACCGTAGGTCCTGAAGTTGGAAGAATCAGTATTAGTTGACTTAAAATTAGA